GATAGAGGAAAAGTAATAGATTTGGTCTCCCCTACCATGACACTCCTGACAGATGACATTCATATAAAAGACACATTCCTGGAAACTGTGGTTACAGATAAGAGCCTCTGTTTAAGGATGAAAATTAGAATTCAGATGAGTGGCAGAGACATTATCAGAAGGGAATCTTGAATCTGTCCATATATATCATTCATTCACAGACTTGGATACTTACTTTATTAACATATTTTGCTGTATGCTGTAATTTACCATGGCACATCAATTTGTTGCTAAGTGACAGTTCTTTTGGAGCTTATAGAGAAGACAGGCTTAATGGGCATAAAATAACTAATTCAGGATAGTACAATATATGTAGAAATGTGGGGATATGAGCTATGACTTCTCAAGGAATTTGTGGAAAAAATGGCTGCCGGAAATGGACAACATAGCAAACCAGGTACTTGTAAGCAACAGAAAAAAAGTTTGATCACTTTTTTTTTTTAAAGATTTATTTATTTGTGCATATATTAGTGGGGTACAGGCCAGAGGCTCGGAGCAGTGAGAGGCTTCACCAGAGACAGAGTGGGGAACAGAACAGGCAGATCGACAAAGCACACTGCTGAGGGGAGCAGTGGGCGGGTCAGGAGAGGTCTGCCACGCCATGTGGTCACCTCCGGGGCAGGCGGGAATCGAACTGATGCACAAGCGGCCCCAGATTCTCAGTGCTGTGCTTTAACCCGCTGCGCCACCAGGTAGGGCCAAAAGTTTGATCACTTTTAGCAGGAATTTATGTAAAAGATGTCGGCGATCCACCTAGCTCTCGGCCTCACAGTTTCCTCCTAGATAATAAATAGTCTCAACAGATGCACATATACATACACATCACCATAGTGTCCATTTGTAGTAGAACCAAACTGGACACTGAAAATGTCCTTCAGTAGTAGCACGATAAGCAGTGGAGTTCAGCCGATTACAGAAAGCTGTACATTGAGTGTGCAAGGTAAGCCACAATTACAGCCCGAGGTTATGGTGACTCTCACAAGCATAATATGGAGAGAAAGAAGCCAGACACAAAGGAAGGCACAGTGAATTATTTCATTTATATCAGGCTGAAAAACAGGCAAAACTAATTTAAACCGTTAGAAGTCAGGATAGTGGTTGCCCTTGGGGGGGGGAATAACAGCTGCAAAGTGGGGAAACAGTGGAGTACAGTGGGTATACTCGAAATGTTGTGTTTCTCGACACAAGTGGGTTCAGTTAGAAAAAGCTGTGCACTCGTAATGTTATGTGTGTGGTGCAGTTTCCTATATTTGTGACAATCAGTAAAATTTTACTTTATAAAAAACAAATGTGTATTGGGTAACTCCAAATTACCATTGCTTCTGGTTGTGTATCCAAAGCTTGGTTCTAAGCTACTAGTATGCACTGGCACTACCGGGCATTGCCAGGCATTAAACTGCAGCTCGCACCACAGGTTTCAGCAGCTAGCTCTGCTGATCTTGTTGCCTGGAAGTTTGATCCTCCTGTAGGGGCTTCCACCTGAGGGTGATGGTTCCTAGCTCTATTCCTCTGCCTTGTATTCAGCCTGGGTGGAGGCCATTGTAGGTGGAGCCTGGCAGCAAGGAAGGCTGGGAAAACGTGTGTGACTTTTTTTCAGCCTTTATCATGGGCAATGATACTTGCCAGGAATTGTAAAAAATCAGGGTAGGAGGGCTGTTTCAGATTTTGGGCAGCGGAAAAGAGGGAATTTGTTCCTGGGGCGAACATTTAGGTCAATAGAAGAAAGTAGATTTCAAATATTGGTAACAATAGAAGCCTGGGGGTAGAGGTCGAACAGAGGATGCATTTGGGTCCAGTGGAACAAGTTTGACGAGATTAAAGGGTGTGCTGTGGGAAAATGGTTCCAGGTAAATTGAAGGAATAGGGCGGGACAAGATTAAGGATTACTTTGAAAGCCAGGCAGAGGAATTTAAATTTAATATGGGAATTTGGAGCTAGTAAAAGTTTTTGAACAAGAAAGTGTCCTGGGAGAAAGAGGTGTTTAAGGACCATTAACTTTCTAGGGGTAGCTAGGAGGTAGCTGTAGTAATTTAAGAGTGGATGGTGAGTAGAAAAAAGAAATAAAGGCAAAGATTAGATTTAAGAGAGAGAGAGAAAAAAAAAACCCACAACAGGACGTAAGGAAAAGAATACAGTTAGAACCTGACTCTAAAATTTTTGAGTCTAGGGGACTGTATGTGGCCCTGTCCTGTCCTTTGAGCTAGGTGGCTGAGAAGGGGACAGCTGGGAGAGTGTAAAATAGTGAATTTTGGTTTAGAATTGTTAGGCCTTATGATGATATTTATGTAAGGGTTAAGCAGTTGACCCTCTAGAACAGGAAGCGAATTGAACTCTGAAAGGCTCAGAAGGGGCTGGATAGAGTGCTGGGGCCCTCAGGGTGGTTGGCAGCTCTCATTTTTAGGTTGACTGGTAGACTCTTGTATTTAACAGAGTGGTACATTTGGTTTTTGTTTGTTCAGGTTTTTTTTTTTTTTTTTTTACATAGGACAACTGGGTGTAGGTCAGAGGTGAAGAAAGGAGGGAGAGGGAGAGGATTCATCAGAGACAAAGTGGGGAGCAGAACAGGCAGATATGCTTAAATAACTGCCAAGGGGAGCAGCAGGCAAGACAGAAGAGATCTGCTAGGCCACTTCTGGGTCAGCTCCCTGGCTGGGGATTGAATTCAAGCCAAATTCAGGCTGTTGAGTTGGTAGCGCTGAGACTTAGCCCCTAGGCCACCAGGGAGGCCCCTCAAGTGGTACATTTGAACCACAACCTGCTGCTGCTTAAAGCTTCCGTTCTATAGCTTGAGGTGGTTTTCTTTCTGTTATTTGTAATCTCTTTGGGAAGGAAATTAATACACATGCAGTTTTTCTTGTTTATTTCTAATAGTTTTGTATGCTTTAAATATGAGTATGTATTCAAACTAGGGACTTTGCACAAGACTGAGTGAGATAGCTCATAAAAAGCAGACCTCCAGTTGATTAGAACTAAGCTGGAGTTCCCAGCGGCCTGCAGTGTACCCGTGCATTGGTGGTGGCAGCTCTGTTCTCTCTTAAACTTACAACAGAAAGGCTGTAGACCTATTTAGGCCTCACAAGGTTTTTTCCCACCTTAGACAGTACATTTCAACACTGTCACTAACTGCAAGACTTAGCATAATATGCCAGCTTGGCAAGGCAGCTCGGTCTCAGGAGCATCACGACTGATTTTGTGTACAGCTGAAAAGCTGTTGCTGAGGTATCCCTCTTAGGACTCTATTCTCTAGCCTGTAGCATGTACTTGCTTGTAGATGACACTGGAGTGTTCAGATATCATTAAAGGATATGCAGCCATGTTAACAGGAAACTCACCCCTGGGGTAAGTGTGTGACAGGGAAGAAAATGCATTGATGGTTGCCATTATTTGTGCTCTGTGTTTGCTGACATGAAGTCTTTTGAGACCTTTTAAGTCTTTTGGGCTTTTCAGTATAAAAGTGATGATCTGATATTTAACTGTGTGTGAAAGATCAGAGGTGAGGTGGCTGAAAGTCACAGTGCTTTTCTGGCTTGGGAAAGTTCCTTGGCATAAAGAGGTAGCCAGCTGAGAAGCAAGGTAGTGACCTTGAGTTCTAGTGTTTTTTTTGTAGTACAATTGTAAATCTTTTTATTTTAATAAATCCAGGTGCGGTCCCGTCTTATGCATTTGAGCTTAATTTGACAGATGCAAAGAATGTCACTTGCTTTTATGCAAAATGGCAGATGAATTTCACAATAAACTATGAGACTACAAACAAAGATAACGTAAGTATTTTGATTTATCTTTGAGTTTTATAGTAGGAATATGATTCTGTTGTTTTTTAAACTTTACATTTATACAAATAAGATTTTGCATCTTTTAAAAAAGATTTATTTATTTATGCATACAAGAACTGGGTATAAGGCAGAGATGCCAGGGGGTTTGACAGGATTTACCAGAGAGACTGGGTAGCAGAACAGGCAGATCTATTGAAATACACTGCTGAGGGGAGCAACAGGTGAGACAGGCAAGATCTGCTGTGCTGTGTGGGTCAGCTTCCTGGCTGGGGATCGAACTCATGCTGCAGTGGCTGGTAATAGCTTGATAGCACTATGTCTTTAATCTTTATGCCACCAGGGAGGCCCAATTTCATTTTTAAAAAATATTTATTTATTTTATTTATACAGAACTGGGGTACAGGCCAGAGATGTGGAGGGTGAGAGAATTCACCAGGGACAGAGTGGGGAGCAGAACAGGCAGATAAAGAAGTACACTGCTGAGGGGAGCAGCGGGCGGGTCAGGAGAGGTCTGTCACACCATGTGGTCACCTCCGGGGCAGGCGGGGATCGAACTCATAAGGAAGTGGCTTGAGCTTCTTAGTGCAGTGTTTTAACCCACTAGGGAGGGCCTCATTTTTTTTTTTTAACAAACTCTTGAAGGTATTGTTTAGTGTTAAATGAATATTCTAATTCATTGATTTAAAAAAATATGCATATAAGAGCTGGGGTATAGGCCAGAGGTATGTGTGTGTGTGGGGGGGCAGTGAAAGGATTCACTAGAGACAGAGTGGGGAGCAAAACAGGCAGATCTACTGATTACATTGATGAGGGGAGCAGGAGAGGTCTGCTGTACCATGTGGATTAGTGGTGGGCAGCTTCAGAGTGCTAAGACTTAACCCCTGGTACCACCAGGGAGGCCCTCATTGATTTTTTTGTTTGTTTGGTTCCCTTGGTATTCAGGTCTAGCTGCTGTAATGTAAGTTTCTGCCTGGCTACACTCTCAATTTTTGGGGAAAAAATCAACTTAAGAACAGAAATTCAGGCCAGTTTTCCTTTTCCTTTTAGCTGTCCATGAATTTGTCCATTGTAGCTGAAGAATCTGTGACTAATTTACACAGCAAACCAGGCAGAAGGCCACCACGGGGGCTTGGCGGGGTGTTTGATGCAGACTTTATTGGTACACCCTGCATAAATCCTACCTGTTTGTTCATTACCCCCATTGTTTTTTATCCTTTAGAAAACTAAAACCATTTCAGATGGTTCAGAAGGCAATACAACATCTGATGAAAGCACTTGTGGGAATGGACAGAATGTTACCAAAATCAAGATGAAATTTGGACCTAGTGTTTCTTGGATTGTGAATTTTACCAAGATGTCTACTAATTATTTAATTGAAGGCATCTCATTTTCCTACAACACTTCAGATAACAACACATTTCCTTTTGCTCAAGATAAAGGTAATCTTACGAATTGCATTTGTATTATGTTCTTATTCTTTATTACTAAGTAAAATTGTAAGTAATTAAAAATCATCCCATCAAATAACTGTCTTCCTAACTAGAACAGAAGTTTCATGTCTTTGTATTCAACACATACACACACACACACACTCCACCCACCCCAGTGGTCAACACAGAGCTGGTATTTGCTGTTATTGCTTGAGAGCTTCCTACCAGGTGCTACCCTAAGTGTGTTATCAGCAGCATCTCACTCAATTATGAAGATTATCCCTAGAAAATAAATCTCTCAGTTTTACAGGTAAAGGGAATCAGCCTCATGAGACTAAATGACTTTCCCAAAGGTTACACAATAGCTAGTTATGTGGTGAGCTGGTGTTAGAGCCAAAGTTGAGCTGCAAAGTTCATGCGCCTAGTTGTCATTACTTATTTCATTCAATAATGGGCGCTCAACAAATGTTGAATAAATGAGAAAACCCCCTTTTTTTATTAAAAAGTTTATTTTTACATCATTTTGCACATTTTTTTTCATCTCAATTGTAATCCCCACGGGGAGAAAACCCCTTTTTTAAAAATTAATATAATAGTTTATTTTTACATTATTCTGTGACTTTTTCCATCTCA